AGCAGCACACAATTTTTCACCTGACTGCTCTGATTTTTCATCTTCACCATGCAGGGTAGCTATAAATACATCAAGTGGAAGACAGGATAATTTCATGCCTTTTGGAATGACAAAAGAAGAAAGACTCAAAATGATAACTGGTATATAAATGACAAGACTGGGCGGATATCAGCTCCTTCCACAAACTGGTTGCAGTCTCTCAACATTACTTTCTTATGAGCAAGTTCTTCAAGGGACACCAATTCAGAATCGCTATCTTTGGTGCCACTAAAATGTCATCTTCATTAAAAAAATAAAAATGAAATAAAATGTCATTTTCAAAAAGTCATTGCAAAACATAGGCAGCTATAGATAACCTTTATAGCTATTATACTGTGCTTTCTAAACAATGATGTATTTAAACTCATAAACTCAATTACATCCTTGTAATTTGCCACTAGCCTACCTGCCAGAGCATCATACATATCCTAGACAAACACCCCTGCCTCTGTGGACCCTGGCTCACAGAGGGTATTGAACAGACAACTTGAGGAATGCCAGGCAGACATTCTGCCCCTGCACCACCTTCCAGATCTTGTCAAAACAAGAAACTCCATGGAAACCTGCCACATCAGCTGACCTCTTTACACCAACAGGTCAGTAGGTAATACCTCCAAGTTAAATTTGCTTGCAAGGATGAGGAAACTATGGATTTGCTCCTGTTCTGCTTGTAAACTCCAATTTGCTCCAACACCTATATGGCCTACACTAAATTCAACGGGAACTGGGCCTGGTACGACCTATGTACAATTACCACTAGGTGGGGAGAACTATATATGCATAGATTTCTGCTGGGTTAAGTCAACAACAGGTGTGCAGCTTTAAGAGCACTGCTGCTGAAATTCCAAGTTCTTTGTGCTCAGAGACACTGATCCTAGTTCTTGCTTCTTTACCATCAGTCAGCGCAAAAGCTATTGTGCAGAAGAACCTGATGGCTGCTGCTGCCCAATCAGCAATAACTGTCAGAATCACAAGCCTCTGATTGTCTCCTTCCCCAGAGGAATGTGGCAAATGAAAAACTCTACAGGTACCAGTCTGTGTTTCCTGAAGTTGTCCAGCAAATCTGGCTTTTCTCCTACCACACTAAACTCATGCCCAATGATTCCAAACAGAAAAGAAACCATAATATGATTTTACATTATTACACTACTGATTCTTAACTCTCTGCTTCCCGAATATCACATCTAGCAAAGCAGCAATAAGAGGCTACGCTTCCCAGATGTGCTGGTGAGATCGCGACCGGAAACTCCGCTTGTCTTCCGTATCTCTTGCGTGGCTAATGTTGCGTGTGACCGCAGCCCATAATATGATTTTACATTATTACACTACTGATTCTTAACTCTCTGCTTCCCGAATATCACATCTAGCAAAGCAGCAATAAGAGGCAGAGCTGTGTGTGTATGTATGTGTGTGTGTATGTGTATACACACACAGAGAGAGGTCATTCTGCATTAGTTTGCCAAAATGTCAGTTTTCCTTTTGTAAGCAGTGGATCATCTTATGATGGAAAATGAATAGAAATAATTATATATCATTTGCAAAACATCTCTATAAATTAATGATTAAATATGCTATGGCTGTACATTTAAATGGTTGAATTGTGTGGTTAGATGTCATTAGAAGGAGCTCAAAAATTTGCCGAGTTGAGAATAAAACCACAAACAGCCAAAATGTGGCTGAATTAAGTCAGATACTGTGGACCCATTGAAAGTGGAAACTTTGCTGTACAGGAAGAACACTAGCATTTAACTGAAAAATAATACGAAATAAATACAGTGGGTCTATCTTTTCTTGGACCAGATTCTGATGGAGTCAGGGATATACAAATAATTACCATTTGAAGCTCCAGAATGAGGAAACCAAACAAATGTGGAACGATTTCAAGATCAAGATGTTGATATGTAAAAACACAAGAACAACACAAATATTTCCCATTTGTGAATGTTTTAAAATATATTCCCAATATTATTTCTAATTTCTTAGTAATTTCTAAAATAGCCCATAGCCTTATTGAACCTGAAACTTTACTCAGTAGTTGGATAAATACACACAAGTATGGAACTTTGAGACAATAATGAAATGGCATCCAAAGGAGGTATTTCTCTGTAAATGTCACACAAAGATTATTTTTTCCATTAAAAATACATCAAACTTCTGATTTTTCTCTCCTCATCCCTGCCCACCATATTTCCATTGACCATTATCTCCCAAATCTATTGCCACCACAAGATTTTGAGTTCATCAAGTCTCCCATGGCTAATATCCTATTTTTTCATGCTGAATATGTATAAAATCACAGTGCAATCTTAAAAAGAGTTACACACCCTTCTAACTCCACTGAATTCAATTGGCTTGGAATGGTGTAGCTGTGTTTAAAATGGTACTGTCAGTATCCCATTACCAATTTCAGAACACCACCCAGTTTTTTTCCTGTGAAATTATCTGTCTGTATCTGTTTATTGACATATCTCTCCTTATATATAATTCTGTTTTGGTTATGGACTCCCCTGAACATTCCAACACGCTCCCAAATCAGTTGGCTCCCTGATCTGTCATTCAGAGGGTCTCCCTATCCTCTGGCTGCGTTGCCTGAGTCCTGCCTCCAACATTCTAAACAGTTTGCTGTTCCTCTCCCCCTCCATTGCCAGTCAGAACACAGAGGTCATTTGCATATGTGGCCTGATTGGCCTTTGCCTCAGAACACAGAGGTCGTTTGCATATGCGGACAGGATTAATTTTCAGGTTCAAAAGTAACAAGACTGGGAAATGCCACTGTTCCTGATGAGTGTTCATTGACATGCCTGTGTGGTGGCTCTTTGTTCTAGAATAAAGATCTACTGTGGGGGGTGGGGGTGGAAATTACATGGGAGGAATGCTTTGATGACTGTGTCCATCACTGCCACATTTAAGTATGTGAGAACTCCATGTAAAGTATGAATTTGATTCTGAAGTGCAAATGATGTAACACATCAAAAAGAAAAAAAAGTTTGTATTTCAGATTTTAAAGCCTTGCCCTCCAGCACAAGACTCAGGGTTAGATCCAACCAGTTTTTTCACTGGTGAAAAGGGGATAAGAGGGTTGGTCTCCTTTGACCCCTCCCAAAAGACCATGCTGGGGACCAAGACACCTGCACGGACAAAAGCTATTTGGGACAGGAGCTACCATAAGGCTGAAACTGAGCACAAAAGTCACCTGTCTCCAACCCACAGCTTTCCATTCTGTGATGTAACAAGTGAACTTCAGCATCCCAGACTCTGCATTTCAGATTCACCACTGGAATCAGTTCCATATTCCCCATTTTACAGCTTCCAGCTCACAATATTGAATGTATCAGATTCATCACATTTGGGGGTTCTTTCAAACAAATTCCCAGCAACAAAGCAGACAGAGATATATTTCCTTAAGCTACCCAAGGTTTTGTGTTTTTTTTTACTGAGGTTGTGTTCAGGTAATGACTTCCTCCATTTTCCATCTGCCCCCCCCCCAGTTCTAGTCCTTATTTTAAAGTAAATGGAACAAGTACCAGTTTGCATATATTTTTATTTATTTTTATTTAAGTATTTTTACCCCGCCCTCCCCGCACTAACCTTTTCACTTGTAAATAGAATAGCAGCTTATGTCTAATTTTATAAACTTAAAACTGTCACAACAACAAAAGTTCACAAGGGACAGCATTCTGATAGAACGGAGCCCTGACAATAAGCATCTTTTGAATAAGCCCTTCCACTTGGCTTAGATAAAATTAACAAGTACATGAACAGTTTCTTAATCTTTGTTCTCCTTTGAGAAAAGGTCTGAAAGCTCTTTGCTGTCAAGGAGACTGTGGCTACACTTTTTCCTGGGTGCTCTTCATGATATTTAGAAGTTACAGAAAAGAAAGAAAGAAAGAAAGCATTGCACTGGAATCATAAACACTCTATGGGGCAGGCATTCAGCACAATCCCAAGAACACTTTCAGTGGGGGGTGGAAGAAGCCCCACTGAATAGACCTGACTGGGATTCTGAGTAGACCAGAGTTAGGATTGCTCTCATTGTCTGTATTTATAGAAAGTGCTGCTTCTTGCTGCTAATTGTCACCAGACAACAGAGTCAAGGCACTGCCACAAAGCAGCTGTGAGCCTGACTCTGCCCCACATGCAAAGTATCATCTCTCTCTCTCTCACACACACACACACACACAGAAAATACAGAAGGTGATATTGGGTCTGACAGACGTTGCACTCCTTGCTGCCTAGGCTGGCAACTGTACAGGTGTAATCGCACTTGGAACAAACTGCTCAGCCAAGCACAGATATTTTTAGAGACTTTAGGTGCTCATATTTTATAAATTCTTTCCC